TGGTTACCACCCCCACTCCCCCCCAAGAGTCCAGTGGCTCCATCTGGCCTCTCCTGGGTGGCCCGGGGCTGTCTGGGGAAAGGAGAATGTAGGGGGTTCTGAACTATATGATGTCTTTTCAGGGAGTCTTTCTGAAACTAAGTTCCCTTCTAAAAGCTGGAGGAGCACAGGACGCCCTGGACAGAGAGGTGCTAGGCCAGGGTGGAAAGCTTGACGCTGTGTTTTCACTGCTCACTCCCCTACCGCACTGTGAGCCTGTCCCTCGACGCAGTGTCCCTCTGCAGTCATCCCTCCCCAGCTGCCCGCCACACTGCCCGCCAGGCCGGGCCGCCTGCTGCCTGTGCAGCGTGCGAGAGCGGCAGGCTGCGGCTGGGTCAGCGCCGACCCACAGGGTCTGGTCCACTGGGCAGGGTCTGAACTGCTTGTCGGGTCTGTTGCCCGCTTTGCTGGGGGCTACCTGCCTCTTCCCTGTCGTGTCTGGCTTCCCGTGAGTTACCGTGGGCTCCTCCCTGCAGGACGATGTGATGATGCCGCAGAGGGTGAGGCTGCAGCTCGAAGCCGCCGTCCGGCACCCAACAAGCGTAAGTGCTGGCGTCTGGTTCTGTGTTTTCGCTGCCTCTGATAAGATTGTCATCACGGCTTTTTTCTTTTATTTATTTATTTTTCTTGTTAAGAAGAGACCTGCTTATTACTGATAACACTTCATTTGGCTAAAACCATAAGAAGTTCACACACAAATATCTAACATGCAAATTCTCACAGGCAGTGTTTATGATACCGTGGTGTTGTCTTGGGGGAAATGGGAAGATAGTGACAGTAATTATTAAAACTGGGCACAATTTGAAAAATAACTCATGTTACCTGCGTATGTTTTGTCTGGCACATTCAGAGGTGTATGTGAAGGGGTCATGTTGCCTGTAGGAGGGAGGCCCCACCAGACACAGGTGCAGGCTCTCGCCTTGGGGGCTCTCCTGAGACACATGCAGAATCACGGCCCTGAGCAAAACCCCCAGAGTCGGGTCAGCTGTGCTCACTGAGCTCACAGCCTTTCAGCTCAGCGTCCTCCTGGGTGGAAGGCGGGGTACGGTGGGACTGCCCTCCCAGGGCACCTGTGAGGCCTGCAGGTGTTTTCCTGTGAGGGAGGACATGCCTCCTCTTTGGGGTGGCACTTGCTGCCTTCTGGTGGGTACAGAGGGCCTCTGGATTTTTGTTCTGTTTTGTTTGAATCAGCATCTTTGAAGCTGTGCCCCGTGGACACGAGCGCACAGGCTGAGAGCTTCCTGTGTCACCACAGGCCTAACCGTCCCTCTCCCATCGGTGACTCAGTTGTGTTCTCTTAGAGCAGCTTCCCTGTCGGCCCCAGAGCCAGGCCCCTCTAGGACCATCTTCCCGGCACTCGGGGGGGCCCCTACTCAGCGGCGTGTGGCTCGTCTCCCTATAGGAGCCCCGCGCGGGGCGGCGGCCGAGGCCCCGTCAGTCCTCAGACACTCCCTCTCCTGCTCCTCGGTGAGTGTGCTGGTCCTCCCACTGTGGAGGGCATCCGACCCCGGTGCTGACACGCGCTCCCCCACCCCCACCCCCCGGCCTGGAAGGAACAGGTCTCAAAGCCCCAGTGTAGCAGGTCACCAAAGCCGTCAGTGAGGGTGGTGCCCAATGCCCTGGCCTCACCTGCTGCTCTGCCCTCGGACTCTGTGGGGACGCATGCTTGTTTCTTCACAGCTCGGGGTCACCGCTGTCATGCTCCCCCCTGCGTGGCCCTGCCAGCCCCTCTGCCTGGAGTCCTGGACTCCGCCTGCAGGATGCAGTCACTCCGTATCCCCTGTGGTGTCCCTGCCCCGCGCTGTGCCCGCCCGTGTGCACCTACACTGCCCGGGCCCACCTGTTGGACAGGGGTTTACAGGGCGCAGGGATCCTGTCTCCATTTGTTTTGTGTCTCAAATAAAACACTTGTATCTAGTCAATGCTTGGATGTTAGTTGTGTGCCCCAGCTTGGGGGTCAGGCGTCCCCACGGCAGCGTCTAGCCCATCCAGTGCCCGGCATGGTGTCGTTGCTGCAGGGGTCAGCCCCTGGAATCTTATGTGGCCACAGCTTCCTCGTGCGTGGGACATCCACCTGATGGAGTCGGCTGGCATGCCACCTGAGACAACCTTCCTCACCTAGAGTCTTCCTCACCATGGACTCCAGTCACGTCTGCCAAACCCTTCCCAGCAGCACCCAGACAGGGTGTGAAGAACTGTCGGCAGCAGCCTCCTGGGTGCACACAAGCCGGACTGGGACAGAGCAGAGGCTACACGTGGAGCCAGAGCGCGAGGGTGGGAGACCGAGCTGGGAGGACAGCTCCAGGGTGTGGAAGCCGAGGGGGCAGGGGGAACCTTCGCAGGAGCTGCCGGCGCCCGGTGGGGCTCAGGGCTCTGTGGCTCCCACCAGATCCTGAGACGGTCACAAGGCGAGGAGTCTGAGCGCAGGGCAGGGGAGCGTGCTCGGTGCAGAGGTGGGCTCCGCCTCCACGGAGGCTTGTGGACGTCCACAGTCACTGAAGATGTCATGTCTCACCACTTCCTGGCTGGGAAAGAAGTCGGAAATGCTTGGACACAGCGTTGGGACAGTTACTGCTTCTCCTAGGAGCCACATGGGAACATCGTCCAGCTCTGGACAGTGGGCTGGACCTGCAACCCTCAGGCCCTGGTCATCAGGCATCACTGGATTCCTCCGTGGGGTCAGAGGACTGGCCTCCAGCAATGTTGGCGGGATTCCCCGTGACAGGGAAGGAGAGAGTAGAGGCACACGCCTGTGGTCTCACTCGTTTGCTGGGAAGAGGAAGAGGAGTGGGGAAAAAGCCCTGAATGGACTTCTGCTCACAGGTCGTCCACAGGGCAGTGCAGGTGCAGGTTTGCAGACGTTTCTGGTCTGACAGGTGTGACGGAATTAGGTGGCACGACTCCGGAGGAGCAGCCCAGCTTTTCCGAGTTTAAGCTGCACTGACGGCCAAGCTCACTGCTTCTGCCTGTCCATGCTAATCGTGTGACCCTGCGACAGTCATAGGCACGGCCCTGCCCCGCGAGGACGACGCTGTGTTTGAGCAGTTGGCTGAGCCATCCTCATGGGGGACGCCATGTCTCCTTCTGAGTGACGGCCACCCAGCAGTTCCTAGCGTTGAAATGTGGCCCATGTGGAAGCTGCTACGCCCCTGGCACCAGTGTGGGCGCTCTCAAGAGCGAGCTGCTTTCAGATACGTTGCTGTCCACCTTTTTCATTTTCGTACTGAAAACTATCAAACACGATCAGCTCCGTAATGAAATGACTTTGCAGTCCTGCAGGCAAGACTCAGATGGACCATGATGCCTGGGGTTACGCAAGGAAGTTGGAAAAAGGCAGACTGCGTCTGTTCCTAGTGCTCCTAACGTAAACTGCCTGGGTCTGCGCTTTTACCAAGTTCCAGGCTGAGCTCTTCTTGCTCCCATCTACTCGGGTTCATGCTCAGGAGGAACTCCGCCTCCTGCCAGTGCTCCCGGCTGGCGGCGGGGGCTGCTCCGTGGGGCCAGCTCCTGCCGTGCAGGTTTTCAGTGGAGACCGGGATGTCCTCACGGCCTGGCTGCATCAGAACAAAGCAGCTTTAGAGAGCTCGTTACTGTGGGGTTGGGCTTCTTTTTAATCATGACCTACAAAACCTTAATTTGCGGTTGCTGATTGGTGGTTTTGTCGAGTGTATCATATATTTAGTTCGGAAAGAATGAAGTGAATGCCAAGTGTATGCTTGCCCTTGGCCACTGTTTTCTGAGCGCAGGTTACAAGAAAGCCACTTCGTTGTGAAGGCAAGGCCCTGTGGTGGCTTCCACAAATGGTGCAGCTGCATAGCCTCTGCAGAATGTGTGGGCGTCACTAGGCAGCCCCACTGTGGCGTTTGTCCAGCACGTACTGAACCTTTCCGAGCAGAGATCAGCTATGGGGCCGGAGCTGGGGTGCAGGGGCACCTTGCCAAGGAGGGCAGCATCCTGGAGCACTCCCAGCCCATGTTGACGGCTTTTGGGAAAGATGGACCCTTGGTAGGAGGATGTCTCCGAGGTCAGTGAGTTCCCAGGGAGCTCAGTACAAGCAATAAGCTCGTGACCATCCTGCCAGGGGCCCCGCGTCGAGGGGATGCTGGGCACCTCTGTCTTTGCAGCACCGTGTGGAGCAGAGGCAAGGACCGCACCACCACCGGCTACAGACGAGCCAGCGCAGGCCCTGTAGCGAGCACACGGCCTCTGCCCTGGAGCATCAGAGTCCCGAGGAGGGTGAAATCCTTGGTGTGCGGCCCCTGTGTGCCGTCACCCGAGAGGACACAGGCCACCTCGGGGGTACAGGGCTGTGGGCGGAGCAGCAGAGCCCCTCCTCCTCCCTTGTTCCCAGAAGCTCTCCCTAACCCGGCCCAGAGGTGCCCACTGGTGCCAGGTGAGAGGTAGACACACAGGTGTGTGCACCAGGAGCTCACAGAGACTCTCTTCCGCTCACAGATCATAGGCTGCCGAGTGAGGAGAGAGCCACCCAACTCCACGGAGCGCTACACGCGCTGGATCAACCAGCTGGCGCCTGGGCAGCTGCTCACGCAGGTACTTGTCGCCCAGACTGGGCGCCGGCCACACTCCCCGGGGAGACGCCGCTTATGCTGGCAGCCGGGCCTGGTTCATCCTTGAGCCCTGTTTGCCCACGCCCAGGGTGTGCCAGCGCTCACTGGGGAAGGGGGAGCCTTTCAGAGGAGCCAGAGGGCAGGAGCCTGGGAGTGGGGCAGAGCAGCCCAGAGGGGGACTGGATGGAGCGCAGGGGTGTGCCTGGGCAGGGCCGAGCTTTGGGCAGGTGGAGGGTGGTGTCAGATGGACACACTGCCGGGGCTGGGGCTGGAAGCTGAGGTACAGCATCTGGGCGGGGCTGCCCTGCAGGGGGTCAGGTCTGGTTCTGAGCTGCCAAGAGGCCTGGGTTGAAATCAAAATGGAAACCACCTGTGAGGGGTGTGGGGCTGCTGGGGACAGCTGGCGGGAGAGGGGCAAACCCCCCCACCCCCCCACCCCCCCCAGGACGTGGCTCCAGAAGCCTGGAAAGGTACCCGGCCCGTGTGGTGGGGGCCGGTGCTGGCATGGAGCTCACACAGCGATTCCCGGGGCCCTGCCATGTAAAAAATGCTTTTTACTAAACTGAATTTTGGAACTTGGTGTAAGGGATGGTTTGTCTGATCATTTTCTCCTGAGGTTAGCGTTGCTGGTGATCGTGGCTCTGACGTGCCGCTCCCCGCGTCACGATGATGCAGAGTGTGCCCTGGTGACAGCGCCGGCACCCCGGCCCTTGCTTTGCCAGGAGGGGCTGTGGGGCTCACGACTCCAGGACAGGCCCATTGTGCACGCACCCTGAGGACATGCACTCATGGGTTCTTTTCCTGTTTTTCTGAACAAGGGAGCACAGGAGGCCTGGCCAGAGCTGCCGGTCAGTGGTCCCCGGGCACTCGGTGCTGCCGGGCGGGCGGGCGGGCAGGTCCCCAGCGATGAAGCTGCTGAGTTGGACTCCTGACCTGTGTGATTTTCTGGTGGAATGAGACTCAGGCAAAGCTGTAACTAAGCACAGAGGGTGTAGTTTAAATGCAGCAGCACCGTCTCAGCCAGAAATACACGGTCTGGGCTGAGGGCGTGCAGGAAGCCTTCCCCGTCCTGCATCACAGAAACAGTTACATGTAACGCTCGTCACGGTGTTTTCTTTAGCAGGTCAGGGAGCTTAACGTCTGAAGTTTCTCAAGATAAATCGAAGGCAGTATTTCTTAACGAAGTCATTTCTCAACCGTTAGTTACAGAAAACCACGATTTAATCAGGCAAACGCCACCAAGTGGGTCCTTCCATGTTCATAGTCTACACCAGTGATGGCGAACCTTTTGAGCTTGGTGTGTCAGCATTTTGAAAAGTCCTAACTTAACTCTGGTGCCGTGTCACCTACAGAAATTTTTTGATATTTGCAACCATACTAAAACAAAGATTTATATTTTTGATATTTATTTTATATATTTAAATGCCATTTAACAAAGAAAAATCAACCAAAAAAATGAGTTCGCGTGTCACCTCTGACAGGCGTGTCATAGGTTGGCCATCACTGGTCTACACTATCCCCTCTGTGCTCACTCCCAGCATCTTTCCTCTTCTTAGGAGAACACCTTGGGTTAGGGCCCTACCTTACAGTCGCCTCGTACGTACAGTCCCCTTGGTGGTTAGGGCTGTCACGTGGGCTCCAGGCCACAGCACGGACACCCTCATGCTCCTCAACCTGGTGGCACGTCCTTGCCAACGGCAGGGCAGCTCCACCATGAAACCTCTCAGCCCACGTGGACCAGGCTGGGCTCAGACTCCGCCTGGGGCTATCCGAGGGCTCTGGGCACGGTGTTTCACCCCATCGGTACCCGTCACCTGGTCCCAGACTGCCAGGCGATGTGCTGGCCGTGGTGATCAGCTGCCGAGGAGGACCCAGGAGAGAAGGAGAGTTTGAGAGGATGCTCTTGTTTGGGCACGGTGCCAGCAGGGTGGAGGCGAGAGGTCAGCTCACCTTGTGGGGTCAGCAGCAGTGATGATGGGAGACAGGGGCCCCCGGAAGGTCTCTCTGACATCCTGGCCCTGAGGTTGAGGGCTGAGGCCACACTGCAGGTCAGTCAGCAGGGGGCCTGCTGAGAGGGCACTGATGTCTCGATCCTATCGGGCGTTTCTGATCAGAATGGAGCGGGTGCCATGGGCCAGTGGCTGCCCCGGAGGCCCCAGGCCTTCCATCAGCTGGGTGATCTCTGTGGCCCTGCTTTACTTCCTTAAAATGCAAGGGTTTAAGCCCAGCACCCAGAGCCTCGGGCCGACTGCTCTATGGCACCTTTCAGCGTGCATGGGTGACATCCGCAGTCAGTCCCATGGTTCTGGCAGTGTCCGTAGCACAATGGTTGGAACCCGCTGGTTTGTGTAAAACCAGGACATTTCACTCTTCTTTGATCTCCATGTGTCTTTTTCTAAAAAGTTTGTCTTTGAAGCTCAGTGGTTTTTACGTAACTCTAACCAATCAGCATTTATTAAATTTAAGACCTGACTGTGCTCTGACATGGTGCAGCTGTGTCGTTTTCTTCACGTTCTCTGTCAACGGGAGTGTCATAAAGTGGTGTCTGTGGGGCAGGTCCAGTAGGAATGAGCGACGTTCCACCTGGTGCAGTGGAGCGCTCACCAGCCTCCCCCAACACCACTGGAAGGGGAGCTGACTGTTCATGGCCGTGCCTTTATTAAATCCAGAAGCCATAGGTTTTGGATTTCACATCAAAGTTTATTCTTGTTGCTATGTGGGTGTTAAATGTCAGAATCCTGGAAAACTTGTTATCTATCTAAAGATAGTCTTCCAACAAATTAGGATTTAGAAATAAGGATAATAAGCCACAGAAATCTGGAAATGAGTCATGTAAACTTTGTGCTTTCTCTGTGAGAATGCTGTCACTTCCTGCAGAGACATAGTTAATGAGGCTGTGAATTTCTCTAACCGCTCGTACTCTCTGACTCCAGGCTTCTCCTTCGTGAATAAACACCGAGCTCATGTGCAGCCCGTAGTCCGTCCTTCCTCTTCCTGAAAGCGGTCCCCTTTGTCTGCTGCGTCCACGCGTCCTTCTGCGCCTTCCTCAAGGGCCACGGCAGGTTTGCCGGTGGCATAGGGGGCTCGTTCCCGTTTGTTCTGCACCTGAAACATCTTGGGATAGACTTTTAAGGATTGAGAACTACATACAATTCGCTTTTGCGAAGTGCACCTGCTGTTGGCATAAAACCAGGGAGAGCCCCAAACTCCCGGGTTCCCAGAACAGCGCCTGGGCCCACGAGGCCTCACATGGGAGCCCCTGTTGACAAAGTTCTAAGAAACTGGATTATCTGATTTTTCATTTGGTGACACAAACAGGGAGTGACAGCTTGAGAGTGAAGAGAAGGCGAAAATCGAAAACGATTAGAAAGTCCCAACAGTCTCACTGGAGGGAAGGGCGTGGCTTTGGTGGCAGGTGTCCACCGCCGGGGGGGGGGAGCCGCAGGGGCTGACCCAGGAAGGGGAGCTGCTGGCCTGTCTGTGTTTGGCCTGGGGCCTGGTTTTGACACTGAATGTCCAACAGGCCACTCCTCCCACTCCTCCTCGCGGCCCAGAGTGCCCTCTGCTGGGCCCGCGTGGAGCTCGGGTCTCCCTGAGTCATCATCTGAGCAACAGGTTCAGTTACCTATTATTTACCTGAACATGACGGAGTGAAAAAAATCAGCATAAGAGCATTTATGCCTCTTGGTCCTACTTCATGTGGGTTCCACGAATCCTGAGATCTGGGGGCTATTTCTGCACCTCATTTACTCACAGGCCCCAGCAGTAAGGGAGACAAGAGGGGGGGCGCTGGTCTGTTCCAGGCTCAGTAGTCAGTTTTCATTTAAATTGAAGCCAGGGCCCACCCCTCACCAGGTAGACCCCTGGTTGGCAGGTTGTTCTGCTGCCTGTTTTGTACATAAAGTTTTATTGGTGCCCAGCCGGGCTATTGGTGTCCACTCTCTAGAAATGAATGGGAAAATGCCTTTGGGTGAGGAAAACAGCAGCGAAGAGCCAGAAGTCTGGTCGGGCTGTGGCCGCAGGACTCCTGAGGTACGCGGGGAGGTTCCTGGTCCGGACTTGTTGCTCGTTGAGGCTGCTCAGGCCCGGCTGCGGCAGAGCTGGCTCCTCCAGGGGCTCGGCTGCACCTGAGCATGCGAGGGGGGAGCTGGACGTAACGCCTGCTGGGAGGCAGGAGGCTGGGCAAGCAGTGAGCCGCCTGAAACGCAAGAACACAGAAAAGCTTGAAAGAAACGACCGGGTCAGGCCAACGTGTCCTCTGGGCTTAAAGAAATCGCCTCCAAGTGTGCTTTATTGCTTTTTTGTTCCATTTTTATTCCTTCGTTCCCATCACCCTTCAGATAGTGTCGGGTGTGGAGACGAGCTTGTGTCACGTGGTGCTGGGTGTGTACTGGGCCTGGACGCGGGTGCCCGTCCATGGAAAGGGTTGAGTGGGGAGCAGAGACAGCCCCTGGGCCCTGGCATGCCCACCGGGAAGCTTAGGGGGAGGCAGGAGGCCGAGAAATGCCCTGGCACAGAAGTCCTCTCTCTGTGTTCTTTTTGATGGAGGGAAACATTACGAAACGCTTTGGAAACTGTTCTGGCTTGTTCAGGCAGTATTGGGGGTGGGGGGTCGATGAGACCGAGAGAGTGAGACGCGGTCAGAAACGTCTGGGAAGAAGCAGCCCTGAGCAATGATAGGTGCTGTGCTCTGGGCGATTAAGTGTGATCTCAGACTGTCTGTGGCGGCCGTGGATGTGGGAGACCTGCAGTCGCTTTCATCCCACTGTGTTGCACCTTCAGGAAAACTCCCCCGCTCCCCCCGTGCGTCCCTTCCCTCCCACAACGAGAAGCTGCGGAGATGGATTTGCAGATGAAAGCACGGAGCCGGGAACACCTCCGAATCAAGGCCACTGAGCGTGTGCGGGGACCTGAGCTCGGCCCCGAGTCCTCTGCCTCTTCCCTGGCAAATGTGTGCTCTGGGGAGACGGCGAGGAGGACTCGGCCAGCAGCCCAGGCAGGACCCCAACGTAGGCACATCTGTCCAGGCTCTTATTTGTACAGACTTACGTAGGTTTTCTGTTTCCTCTTGAGTCCCTTCGACAGGAATTTGTCCATTTCATCTAAACTCCTAGTTATCATCTCGATCCTTTTATGCTATTTTAGTTCTGTTCCCTGTGATATTCAGACAAGCGATGCCATCGATCAAACCCAGGGGGAGGCTCCTTCACAAACACTGAGCATCCGCCGGGAACAGAACCTGGGGCGGGCTGGGTCCCACTACCCATGTCCCAGCGCCTGCCCTCCGCCCTGCGCTGGGGGCTGGACAGAGTCCCACGAGCCTGCACCTGCAGAGGAAGGATGCGCAGAGCAGCCTGTCACCCCTGAAAGACACTCGGGGGTGAGGTGCAGGCGCTGTGACGAGCGTCCAGTGTTAACTGTTCTAGGTCTTCACCTCCAATGGCCCAACTGTGGTCATGCCCACCTGGTTCTGCTCGCGAGCATGGTTTTCTCACGTGGGCCCGTTTGACGAGGGCGGGCAGGTAAGTGTGGGTCCCCCTGTGGAGTCCTCCTCTGGGATTGGGGTTGGTGCTGTCATTCCCCAGACTGGGGACCCCCGTCCCCCCACCCCACCCTAACGCTTATAGGCGCCACGACCTAGTCCAGGGATCAGGGGGTGAGGGAAGCACCTCTGAGACGGTCCCCGGCACTTCGCTGCTCTGCTGAGCTCCGGCGGCAGCTGGGGCCCGGCACCGTGTTTGTTTTGCCACAAGCAAGGGATTTCTGTGTGAGGCTGCGGGCGTCACACCTGCCCTGGCCCAGGCCCCGGTTACCTCATCCTGTTGATGTGGGTGGTGGGTGACAGTGGGAGGAGGCAGCCCTGTGGGAGGCAGCCACGCTGGGCAGAGCTACACCCACTGGGTTCCGGCCTCTGCTGCTGGCCTGCGCACTGTTCCTCCCCAGCCCATCTTAGGGTGAAGGCTCCTGCACCCCATTACAAAGTAAACCTCGGGGTTAATCAGTGTGTTTCCCCTTAACCTGGGAAATGGGCTTTGAGGACATGACTTCCTCTCTCCAGGTTGGAGGGGGTGGACCAGGTGTGCCACGGCCCATCAGGCCTTCCCTGTTCTGACCTTTGATGCCCGGCCCCCGGGGGGCCTGGGTGTAGGGGGTGGCGGGAGTTCTGGGAACAGGGTTCCTGGGGTCTGAAGACCCCAGAGCAGAAGCAGGGACGGGGACTCAGGCCAGACTCCACCATCCGCCCTCGGACCTTGGCCACAGTCCTTCTGGCTCTGGGCCAACAGTTCACTGACTGATGGGGGCCACGTGGACTGCCCCCTCCCTGGTCCCACCCAGCATCCCTCTGCCTCCCCCCAGCACTCCCCCCACCCCCCGTGCCTGTTGCCCACAGGAGCCTCACCCCTGACCCCCGACCCGCCTTCCAGCTGGGCAGTCCCTCACGGCCACAGACATGCTCTGCAGGATCAGGGCTGTTCTCAGGTTTAAAGGCCAGAGCCCCAGGGGCTGCCCAGCAGTGCTGCCTGGGATGTAGCCAGCCCCCTGCCACGCCCCGGCCCCAGGATCGGCCCGCTGTGCTGCTCCTGCCCACGGCCCCACCACGCCTGATGGCACGCGGATCACCCGGCCCCTGTCTCTGTCCTGGAGGCGAACCAATCACGGTTCTAGGGCATCGGGCACTGTCCGTGCTGCCGTTTCTCCCAAATTCACGCGGGCGGGAGGAGCTCATGCGCTGCCACACGCCCCACAGGCACCAGCCCGAGAGGCTGCTGAGCTCTGGTCCCGGTGGACGACCTGTTTCCACGTTGGGACTTAGAGACGAAGGGAGCCAACCCGCATCCCTGTCAGCTCAGAGATGGCCGCAGGCCCCACACCTGGCTCTGGTCTGAGTCCGGCAAGCGGGTGGAGGGGTGCCCCTTCCTTATCTTGTCCAGACCGGGAAGTGGACCTGTCTCACAAGACAGGAGACCGTGGGAACCCTGCAGGACCTGTCAGAGCCCAGGGCCTGCCCCTGGGAGGTTGTATCTCAATGGACCAGCAACAAGAGTTGTAGGGTCGGCTGGGAGGCGTGTGGCAGGGGGAGGCAGGTGTCTGCCCCCCTGGCCAGTCCGCCACGCTCCTCCCCTCTAGCTCCTTCTTGTCTTAAAGAGCTTCGTGCGATCACTCTCGCCCAGTGATGCCACCTGCTGGGTGGGGCAGCTGGGCGTGTGGTCAGCAGGCGGTGGCATCAGGGATCCAGGGGGGCCGAGTGGCTGGCAGCCTCCCCGCCTCTGGCCTGAGGACAGATGCCTGGGGGAGCACTGGACCTGCTGTGCTGGTGGTGAGCACCCTCCTCCCCACAGGGCGTGCCCGAGGACCTGCTGCTCTTCTACAACCACCTCAGGAAGGGCGGCGGCGTCAGACGGGTGGACCAGAGCCTGCTCCTCTACCGCTACCACCCCAGCGCGGCCACGCACTCCGTGCTTGAGTACGTGGTCCCCGGCCGGGGCGGGTGGGTGCTGTGGACTCCGGGGGCTGGCTGAGGCCCAGGGTCCAGTGTGAGGTGAACTGAGACGGAATTCACGCGTACGAGGTGGGCCCTGCACACTCTGACGTGGCTGCAGGGGGCTAGGCACCCTCTTCCTTCACCCCGACCGAGAGAAGGCTTCAGTGGCAGTGGAGCCACACCCCTACCTGGCATCACAGGGAAGCCAGCCCCCTCCCTGCCTCCCTTCTCACCCATCAGGCACAGTCCACGTCCCCCAGCTCCAAGGCCGCCTGAGCCTCTGTGCCGTGTGCGAGGGAGGCCGGCTGCTGGGACGGGCACGGGGGTGCGAGCCAGGTGGGTTGGAGAAAGGAAGAGTGTCTTTAGGTCGGACTGTGTGTTCCGTCTGTGTCACGTATGTGTGCGTGTTACTAGGTGTGGCCCTCGGTTCCTCACCATCGTGCTGCTGCTCACTTTTGGGGACTCCAGACCGGTCAGTCGGGGCCCCTCTGCACACCAAGAGCGTGAGGCAGGGACCCGCACTCGCGTTTCTGGAAGCCGAGCCGACTGTCCTTTCCCTGGAAGGTGTGGGACCCTCTGTCCTGGGAGGTGTGCTGTCCACTTACACTGAGGTCACGGCGCCGCGTCATGGTCACGTGGGTGCGATGCCAACTTTGCGTGTTGTCTGTGGGTCCCAGCAGCGACGTCCACATTGACTGGAGGTGCTGCTCCCCGTGAGAGCGTACAGCTGGACAGGCCCTGATCCCCGTCCTGGTGGTGCCTGCATGTCACACTGTAGCTTCAGGGAAGCGTCATTGGGTTTCTTGTCATGAACCTGACTCAGCAGAACCTCCCCGAATTCAAGGGAGCAGCACACCCACAGTGAGAGCTGGAGTTTCTGAGACTCTGCCTCAGTCTCGGATAGAAATGGGGCGTCTGTGTGGATGCCAAAGACTTGAGCAGCTCTAGCAACCGGCTTGACCCACCTGCCAGTTATGGAGGGAGCACGATACCAAGCCGCAGAGTGTACATTCCGCTGACGTGCAAGACAGGCAATACTGTGGATCAATAAACAAAGCTGAGTAAATTTCAAATCGAGATCATACAGGATCTGTTTCATGTCCACACGGAATTAAATGAGAAATTATTAAACCATTTTGAAAAGCCAAAATACTTGGAAATTGAGCAACCAAGGGAAAAAAATCACAAAGGAAATCACAAAATTTTCAATTTGATGAAAATTAAAATGTAGAATATAGCTAAAGTAGAGTTTTTAGAAAAATTTTATGACTTTTAAAACTTAGAAGATACTAAGCAATTATTTGAGTCTCCACCTTTAAAAGTTACTAAAGTAATAGCAAAATAAACTCAAAGTCAACAGAAAAATAGAAATGAACAGTGGAAGAAGGCGAAATTGACATGCACAGCCCTGGCCCATGTGGCTCAGTTGGTTGCTGCATTGTCCCTACACCAAAGGGTGGTGGTTCGAGTCCCAGTCGGGGCACACTGTTTCTCTCTCATAGATGTTTCTTCCTTCCTCTCCCTAAAAATCAATTTTAAAAAAAAGAAAAACACTTAAAAAAAAAAAAAAAAAAGGGACTGTCAATACCAAAAAAAAAATCAGCAAAACCAACAACTGTTCAAAATAAAATCAATAAAATTGACATATCTCTTGCAAGGTTGATTTTTAAAAGAAAATATAGGTTACCAATATATTTGGAATGAAGGAGACCACTATAGATCTGAGATATTTAAAGTATAAGTAAAAATTAAAACTTAGACTTGTAATTTTGAAACTTTCCATAAGGAAAAGCCAAGCTCAATGGGTTTACTGATAGATATGTTCTATCAAAGATTTCAGACAGAAAGGATACCACCTAAGATCCATGCACTTCACTTTGTAAGTTATACTTTAAAATTTAAAAACATCTGGCAGTGACCACAGTGCTCTCCGGCCTGCGATGTGGCTGCTGCCCGGGTATTGGGGAGGGACCAGGCAGCAGTGCTGTGTCCTCGTCCTGTTTGCATGCCATACTTGTCTTTTATTTTGGGACACCCCCCCGCCCCCCATTTTGCAGCACGAGGCTTTGCCACCCACAACACGAAAGAAGTGATCTCATGTTAGTTTCTGTATGGATTAAAGTCTTTGCACTGTGAGTGGGAAACCTCCCAGCGTAATGGGCTTAATTATGCCCTGAGGTTTGTCAACAACTGGATTCCTTCAGACTCTCTCCCCAAAAGCCCTCTTCTGAGTGGGTGCCAGCTCTTGGTCCTTTGTATATTAAATTAAGAATGGTGAGCACTTACATCATTTAACGTTTGTCACTGAAATACTTCAGACACCAAAAGGCAGGAAGGAAAGTGTAATAAACCCTGGCCCACCCTGACCCCTGGCACTTCCCCAGGCTCTGCCTCCTGCCCAGCGGCCACCATGCCACTCCCTCCACTTCCTCACACGTTCACGGTGTGTAATTTCTCTCTATACAATACCCTTAACCTCTTTGAAATGTTATCTAAACGGTAGCATTCTGCTCATTCTTTCTGAAAATTGCATGTTGCTTAACTGGAGTTGAGCTCTTGTCCCTTCGGCGTCTCTGCCTCCTGTTCCAACTCTGGGCCTGCTGTGCCCAGTGCAGGCTACCCGTGACACCGCCCCTCCTCCCCAGAAAGTTCTGGAAGTGCTCATCTGTGGGTTTGGGGAAACGAGTGCACTGGCCCCTGTGCTGCCCTGCCTTCGGGTGAGGACACTGGTCTCCAGCAGGCTCGAGTGTGAAAACAGCTCTGGAAGTGCCCACGCACATGTGTCCGTGGCGGTTTCTCAGTCTTGTCAGCTCACCCCGTGTGGTACTTTCAGACAGAGACCCTGAGATGATGCCAGAGACACGGAGGTCGTTTAATGCCCACATTCCTCTGAGCCGTTTGGCTCTGTCCCTCCCTCAGGGCAGCCTTCCCACCAGCCCCAGGGCTGGTGCGGTCCTGTGTGGGCCCATGCCACCCCAATCCCCGAGGCTCTGAGCCGTGTCTGGTTGGCAGTACTGATCTGCTCAGAGACCTGGTCTGGGCCATTTCATAGCCTTGTAAACGTCCACAAAACTGTGGGCATCTCATTCAGTATGTACCTCAAATGGAAGAAAATGGGCTGGTTAGAAAGAAGCAATTCAAGTCCCAGAAGTGGGGAGGCCCCGTGTCTGCAGCCCCTTCTCACCTCGCCCGTGGTGGGAAAGACAAGAGCCAGGGTGACCCCCACTGGCAGGGCCCCAGGGCACCTCCTGTTTCTGCCCAACCCAGGCGCGCGGGAACCGAGGCCCCACTCGGTGCCTTTCGACACTGAGCTGACTTGAAAGAGGAAAAGTGTTAAAAGGGACTTCTTGCTCAGGACACCATTCATTCGCTAGAACTCACTTGCATGCGATCCACTGTTCTTTTGTCCTTAGAAACTTCTTTCAATTTTTTAAAAATTTTTTTATTGATTTCAGAGAGGAAGGGATAGAAACGTCAGTGGTGAGAGAGAATCATTGATCAGCCGCCTCCTTCATGCCCATCACTGGGGCTCGAGCCCACAACCTGGGCATGTGCCCTGACTGGGAATCGAAGATCCATAGGCCGACAACCACTGAACCACACCAGCCGGGCTTCTTTCATTTTCTTGGATGCTGGCAAAGCTGCGTGTTGTGTGGCCAGGCTTGCGTGGTGTGTAATTGGCTTGGAGTGTGTGTAGCTTGTGTTTTTCTTTCTGAAATGAGGTGCTAAGTGCCAGGATTAGGGCGTCAGCACTCTGTAACCCCCTGTAATGCCCACCAAGCCACTGCCCCAGGTGACGAAGACCAGGGCATAGGTACTGAGGGGACGTGAACCGAGGGACCTGGCAGGCTGGGTGGGGCTGGAAGGGTCACAGCCTCGCTCCACAGGGCCA